CTCATCAGACTTCCTCTGGATTTTTTGTAGCCCGGTTTCACATCAACATGATGACAGAAAGACAAGAGCATTAATGACTAGGCAAGCCAACAAAAAAGGAGAGCCAATTAAGAACTACTAGTACCAATTTTGTGGTGGTCATAAAAGAACCACAGGTGAATTTAAGAAAATTAACAAATGTCCAGCAATTACCTGCGCAACATCTATGTGGATGTACCATGTCTGTACAATGCATATAAGCATATCAGTTTATACATGATAACACGTAGTATACCCGCTGTCTTTCATTACATAATATTTCTTACATGATAGTTGTTTTTCTCAAGTGTATGAAGGCCCTTATACTATAGACCCATATGGCCCATGAGGCACTATATATAGTCATCTCCACTTGTGGAGTGGTTATGCTCTCTGGTACCAAAGGTTTGTAACATGGTTCCAAAGCCATGGATTGGGGGTTAGGATTATACTATTCTAATTCCCCAACGATCCATTTTTTTTCTTGGGATCCTTCCTCTGTTTTCGCGTGGTGTGTCGCTGCGGCTTTCCTCTGATCCGTGCGGTCGTCGTCGCGCCAGTCTTTCTTCTTCGTGCGGCCCGTGGTTATGCTCTCTGATACCAAAGGTTCGTAACAGTTTTCAAGGGTGGAGCCAAAACACAGGCAAGGGAAGGTGCTAACTACACTGCTAGTCTGAGCATGTCTTGATTCTAAGTATAAGATGCTGTGGTGCCAACCAGCTGGACCAGCATTTTGTAAGAGTTTTTGTTGCCTGGACCGGTGCTGCAGCACCAGCCCTGTCTCTGCTCTTGGTTGTCATAAAAGGAGGTACAACAATATTTCTCCTTAACAGTTATGTCAGACTACGTTACTTGCTTTTCTGCATTTACTCCCCAAACCCCACCCCACCCCACCCTGCACTGCAAACATCCCTATTAGACATATGGGCTTTGGGCAGGCCGTGCGGCCCTAGCCCAACCGGCCAACCTATACATGCATTAATACATACATACCTTGTACTCAACATAATATCTATTGTTCTACATATTTTCCCACTTACACATTCCCCAACACCTTATAAACTCATCTTGTTTTTAATCTTCTTCCAACTCCATAATACCCTTTAATTTGAATGATTCTACCAACAACTTCACATGCTGATACTTTTGGCTTTCACAAAAAGCTCAATAATCTCAATGGTTAACATTGAATTAAGTTCTAGATGATGTGGGATCATCAGTATACTTGGCACAAGGCCAGCCCATCAGCCAATGTAATTTCAGAGTTAAAAGTGGCGACATTCAGATTAGATCAGTTGCAAAAGTTGGTGACATTCAGATTAGTATACTTGCACAAGGCTAGCATGAGCGCTTCGGGCACCTCCACTTCGAGACCCTGCAGAAGCTGGGGAGCAAGGAGAAGGCACGAGGGGTACCCCAGACCGACCACGTCGAGCAGCTGTCCAACACGTGCGTGGTGACCAAGCAGAAGCTCCTCGTCAGGATTCGTAACGCGCAGAGAAGCAACTCGAGCTCGTCCACGGCGACCTATGTGGCCCTGTCACGCCAGCAACTCCTGGAGGCCGGCGCTACTTCCTGCTCCTAGTGGACGACGCGTCCCGGTTCATGTGGGCGGTCCTCCCAACAAAAGCAGCAGCAGCAGTCGCCATCAAGCATGTCCACCGCGGAGGAATGCGGCCACAAGCTCCAGGTGCTGCGCACCGACAACGAACAGTTCACCGCGGCGGAGTTCGCCGCCTACTATGTCGGCGAAGGTATCCAGTGGCACTACACGCTGTACACGCCACAGCAGAATGGTGTGGTCAAGCGCCAGAACCAAACTGTGGTGGCAACTGCACGTGCCCTGCTCAAGCAGAGGGGCATGCTGGTGACCTTCTGGGGAGAGGCAGTGAATACCACCGTTCACCTGCTCAATCGATCGTCGGCCAAGAGCGAAGGCAAGACCCCCTACGAAGCTTAGCATGGGCGCACGCGGGCGGTCGGATACCTTCGTACGTTCGACTGCCTGGCATATGTCAAGGAGCGCTGAACCACCTCGGCAAGCTGGAGCACGCTAGGAGTCTTCATCAGCTACGCTGATGGCGTCAAGGCGTACCGTGTCCTTGACCCAACAACCCAACACGTGCGTGTGGCGCGCGATGTCGTCTTCGATGGACACGGCTGCAGGACAAGGATACCAGCAGCGGCACGGCGACAATGACAAGCGACTTTGTCGTCGACTACGTGCATCTCGGAGGAGCCGAGGGAGCAAGTGAATCTGCATATATGTCCAGTTCACCTGCCCTGACACCCCAGACATCATCGGCTCTATCGAGATCACCATCTCTCTAGACTAGGGGGTACCAGCAGGCACACTGCCTACGGTCACCACTCCGCTAGCTATGCTGGCGGCTACACCAGCTTCCAACGGACGACGAGTAGCAACGTTTGCCACACCACTGGAGAACAACGAGGACCACCTCGACGCTGTGCACGACGACACCCTGCTGCGCTATCGCACCATGGACGACATCCTCGATGACCAGACGGAGCCGGCGATTGTGCAGCACGAGACCGACGTCGAGCCCCACCTGACGCACACCGGGGAATCTTGTGCTTTTGCTTAGGCCGAGGGTGATGTAGCCTGGCTCGCTGCAATGAAGCAGATGGATTCCGTCGAGCATAACCGCACTTGGGAGCTCGTCGACCTGCTCAGCCCACTACCCGATCACCTTGAAATGGGTGTTCAAGCTGAAGAAGAAGAACGAGGCAGGGGAGGTGGTCAAGCACAAGGCAAGGCTTGTCGCACGCGGCTTCGTCCAACAAGAAGGGATCGACTACGACGACGCATTTGCACCCGTGGCTTGTATCTAGTCCATCTGCGTCCTCGCACTGCCGGCCAGGAGGGGTGGCGCGTCATCACATGGACATAAAGTCGGCGTTCCTCAACGGCGACTTGAAGGTGTACGTGTGGCAGCCCCCACGGTTTCGTCGTCACCGGCAAGGAGGGCAAGGTGCTACGGCTACAGAAGGCACTCTATGGCATGCGACAAGCACCACGGGAGTGGAATGCCAAGCTGGACAGCACGCTCAAGGAGATGGGCTTCCAGCAGAGCACGCATGAGGCTCCGGTGTACCCGTGGGGCATCTGTCGCTCCGTCCTGCTGGTGGGCGTCTACATCGACGACCTTGTCATCACCGACGCAGAAGAAGCGGAGATTGAGGCGTTCAAGGCGCAGATGAAGGCCACCTTCCAGATGAGTGACTTTGGCCACTATTTCTACCTCGGCGTCGAGGTGCGCCAGGACGACACCGGCATCACCCTCCATCAAGCACACTACGCCAAGCACATCATGGAGTTCGGTGGCCTCGATGGATGCAATTCAGCCCACATTCTGATGGGAGGCTCAAGCTGAGCCGCCACAACGGCAGAAGAGGTTGATGCCACATAATACCGGTGCATTGTCGACAGCCTGCGCTACCTGGTGCACACCCGGCCGGACTTGGCGTTCACCGTCGGGTACGTGAGCCGGTTCATGGAGTGGCCAACGACGGAGCACTACAGTCAATCGGATCCTGCGCTACGTAGAAGGCACCCTCGACTACGGTCTGCACTACACAAGGAGTCCCAACGCGACGCGCGTCGTTGGGTACTGCGGCAGTGACCTCGCCGGCGACATTGACATGAGTAAGAGCACAAGCGGCACGCTTGTCTTCCTCGGCAATCGTCACGTCAGCTAGCAATGCCTCAAGTAGCGGGTGGTGGCGCTGTCAAGCTGCAAAGCTGAGTACATTGCAGCCACTTCTGCCACAACGCAGGCACTTTGGTTGGCTCGGCTACTGGGCAAACTGCTCGACAGGGAGGCCAAAGCAATCGAGCTCAGGGTGGACAACAAGTCAGCCCTGGCACTTGCCAAGAACCCCGTCTTCCATGAAAGGAGCAAGCACATCCGGATCAAGTATCACTTCATCAGAAGCTCCTGGAGGACGGGAGTGTGAAGGCCAACCACATCAAGGTAAGATCAACTTGCTGACATTCTCACCATGTACTTAAGGCCAACCACATCAAGGCTGATCAACTTGCTGACATTCTCACCAAGTCTCTTGGGCGAGCAAAGTTACAGGAGATGAGGGCGCGAAGTGGGCTGATCCACATCAATTCGAAGACCACACACAAGGCTTACGGGGAGAATTGAAAGGACAAGCGTGCGTGTGTGTGTGTGTGTTAAAGCTATTAGAGCTCTTTAGTTGTTGAGTCTATTAGGGCTGATCACAACCATTTCAACTTCTTGTACTTTAGTTGTTAAGTTTGTTTTGCTTTTAGCTGTAAAGTACATCTTTAGCTCTTTAAATGGAATCACAAGCAACTGCAGTAACAGTACCCAGTGCAGAGAGCTCCTGCCTGTGCGGGGCCTGGGGAAGGGTGTTAGTGGCAAGCCTTACCCTCGCCTGTGCAATGCGAAGAGACCGCGACTCGAACCCGGGACCTTCCGGTCATAGGCGGTAAGACTCTACCGCTTGCACCAGGCCTGCCCTTCCAACTGCAGTAACAGTGCCACCCGAATTCCCAATTCCAAGTTGTGGTTTGTTGTCTAACAGAGATAAGTCAATGCAACCTCAAGCCAAGCATAACCCTCTTCAATTTGCTCTAGCTTAGCCACTGTTGGCAAAGGAGCATCAGCTGAATTAGAGATCGTCTAGAACAAGTGTACCAGTATGGGGTTGAGGGCAGAATGTTAGCGAGAATCGGGAGTAGGAATGGCAGCAGGTCAGGGTCACGTCCCGTTCCCATGGGTTTTAGACCCAGCGGGTGCAGGAACAGGTCCTATTTTTTTTCAGCAGGTCCATAGGTGGAGAGACCCAAACTAGGGCAGGTGTTGGGCCGGATCTGGCTGTTGCCCCGAGAGGACCCAAAAACTGACCTGCCAAGTCAACACAACCTACCAGAATAAACCTAACCCAACTAACAACCTCAATAGCAGCTAGCACCACATACAACATACCTAACCTAGCGACCAAGCCCCCAGCGCCGCCGCTGCATGCGAGACACGAGTCCATGACAGCACCAACGCCTGCACCATCTCACCTGGCTTCTCTCCCATCCCTACTCCGGCATCCCAATGACGCGATCGTAGCTGTGGTAGTCTGGCACCAACACCACGCCACCAACACGCTACTCTGACTCCATGAGGCAACAAGGCCTGTTGTGGGAACAAGGAGGCGAGGAGCCTAACCCCAAACCTCACAGATAGGTGGCGGGGCCGCGAACTCCTATGCTGGCTCTTCCTCTCAAGCCATATGGTAGGTCACGCATCCCCGACATGGCCGCTGTCTTTACCTCTAGCAAGGAAACTCCCCCTCCAGTCCTCTGATCCATGGTCCTCCAAAGCTGAGCCATATGCCCACACTTTGTAGTAGCAAATCAGGGAGGTAGTTCACTAGTTAATGGAGTTCTAGATGAATTGTGCTACATTGTGCTGCTTTAGTGAGTTTAGTTTAGTTGTGAGACAACCAGTGACCAAAGAAATGCTCAAATGGATTTGGCATTCTTTATTCCTGATGCAATGATGTCGACCCTGGCATACTTGTGATCTTGAACTGTATTTTCACAGAAGCAGCTGCAAACGAGTTTGACATTAAGGGCCTGTTCGGGGCTGCTCAACAAACTCCTCCTTGGAGCAGAGTTTCTAAAGCACCTCTTTAGGTGCTCTCACAACTCCACTTTTTTTCCTAGAGCAGAGTTTGGGAGCTGCATCTATTTGGCTAAAAAAGGTGGAGCGGAGCAGTCCCAAACAGGCCCCTAAACAGAGATTTTTCTTTCACCTGGTAACTAGTACTACTATTGACATGTTATCCTAAGGGACTCAATTGTTGGCCAACAAATCCCATTTGTTAGTGTACCAAAGATGGCATATATTTTCCTCTGCATTTTTTTACGGTGTTTCTCATGTGATTTCTGTTACATATGTTACCAGTCGTATAGCACATCTTCTGCATTTTCAGCAATATCAACTCCTAGCAGCAGTGGATCTCAAGCGGCTAGTGCATCAAATGTAAACGCCTGAGCTACTTGTACACCGACATTAGAGCAGTCACAACCCAAAAACTATGGGATAGTTTCCTTACTTGCCATATCATGTAGACACTACACATAGAAACTATATTCCCAATGGATTATTTTTACAAAATACTTTTCAGCCAATCCACTATCTTCTCTCTCCTATCATCTACCTATCACACTCTATCTTGGTGCCCGTGTAGACAGTTTCATGTACTAGAAACCATTTCCTTCTCTCTCCACCTTAATTCCAATGCGACATCACCATTTTGCTTACTTACCACCTAATTAATGCCATGGAAAGCATCCTAGTCATCCCATTGGGACTTGCCCTTATTGGCTAGATAGTGAATGTGTCCTTGTGAATTGTGATTGTGGACTTGTGGTTGTGGTAAACCACTGTAAAGCATATGTGCTAGGTTGGTTCTGTAGTTAATAAGCCCTGTTTCCTAAGCACTTCCTAGATAACTATGCTAGTTAATTACAGTCATTAAAGACCTTGGACAGCCCAAGAGGTGTGTACGGCTGCCAAGGCACCTATCTGATTAGCTATGCTCTAGTGAGCTGTTTGTAATCAATGCAATGTCTATCTCTATATATAATCAAGAAGACGGCCTAGGGTTTGTGGCTTTTCAGGCTAATCAAGTCTGTGTTACCTCCAACAGGTTCTAGACTTCTGGTTGCAAAGTAGTTGTGGTCATGTGGTGTGGTGTGGTGATTGTTAAATTGCTCTATGCCCACATTTGTCTTTCTTTTTATAAAGTACATGTGAAGATATATCGTCTACTACTGTCATGCTATGGTTACTCGGGTTTCAGGGGCCCGTCGGGTTCAAGGGGCTTGTTAGGTTGGGGGTGGATGCTGATTTCCACCCAAATCGAGTCCGGAGCCAGGTTGTGTTTTCATTTCGGGTTTCAGGGCTTCACCCAGCCCCCGACCCACCCTGTTGCCATCCCTAAGGGCCACACTACAGTGGACCCTATAAAGTCCTGTGGTGCATGGACAAAGTGGCATCTCTCCTAGCCTTGCTGCCAAGGGCAAGGGCTTAAACGTGTTCCACATAAGCATCCTGAAACCATGGCACGGCACGCCACTAGAGTCATCTCACAACTACTTCCTCTACCAATAGCTGACAATCCAGCCACATAACATTGACGAAGTTAAACATGACAATAATGCATAAATGCATCATATTTCAAAATTGAAGTACGCAAGGAAATTTTGCATCATTATTAAGACTATCCATAGTTTTAGTGTGCATTTTAAGATGTTACCTTGCGATGAGAAGCTACGGTAGCTCTGTATAATGCTGTTGTGCCAGGATAAACCGCTAAAACTTGTCGACCCTGCCCAAAATCTGGGGCACTCGAAGGATCCCCCTTCCTTGGAAATGGAATCATGGAAGACATAGGCAACTTGTACTTCCTGAAAAGCATAGAAAAGGGGCACCATCAGTTCGAGCCAAACCTTAAGAATAGGGTCAATGAATACCCACAGTTTACTTAATTTCAAATAGCGTTGCTTTACATCGAACTTCATACATACAGCAAAAGGACACTAAGGCCCTGTTTGGATCCTTGAATTGAAATCCATTCTAATAATCACAATTTAGACACAGATAAATTAAGTTAATATGGCCACATGGGGGAATATACTTATATACTGTTGTTGGCCATATGGGAGAGATACTTATTTGCTGCAGTTCTGCTTGGCAAAAAGCGTGCTATAAGTTACATAGCAGAAATATAGCATGAGGATCTATGGAATCAATTTCTATCTCTCACCCCATGAATTTAAGACAAGCTTATATCTAAACTTTGGAAAGTGGTGGAATGTCAAATTCCAAGCCAAATAGCCAAGTCCATAAAGTAGATTCCGATTCTTCCCAAATGAAATCCAAACGAGCCATAACAGTTTTTAGTCGAACACTTTACTTGCAGTTTTCTTAATTTGGAAATAATAACATTTGATTTAGAGAATATGATGAGAAAATAATACCATGAAACCCAATAAAGTGGAGCTGCTTCCACTCGTTGACAAAGTGGCGAATAATCTCAGGATGGAAAACTTCCCTAATGAACCGAGCAGGTTTCCTAATTTAAGTTAAGGTGGTATTCTCTGCCATACCAATCTATCTGATGATTGCTATGGACTTACCAAAATGGGTTATTAAGGCAATTGACAAACGCCGGAGGGGCTTTCTTTGGAAGGACCAGAAAAAGGCTAATGGTGGTAACTGTCGGGTTGCCTGGGGTGAGTCCTTCTACCACTTGAGTACAGGGGGCTTGGCACACACAACCTTGAGATCCTTGGTTGGGCTTTACGTATTAGGTGTCTTTGGCTGCAGAAACTGATGCATCTAGGCCATGGGCTGGTCTCCCTGTACAAGTGCCAAATGTGATTGGAGGCGCCGAAGTCAATTACCCAATCGGTGATGGCAGGGGGAGGGAGAGTCATGGTGCTGAAAAAAATCGCCAATGACTGCTGATCCCAAGCGCCGGCACCCTGTGGAGGCACCTGGTACAGCTGTGGATGCAGCACCGAGTACTGCGGCTGATGCGGTATCTGGTACTGTGATTGATGTGGTGATCAGAGGGGGAGAAAGCCAGGCAGTGCTGTGGGGAGCCGCCAAGAACGCCTGCTGGAGTGCGGGAGAGGGAGCCGACCCAAAGCGCACGCCTTGAGTGCCACACTGGTGTGGTTGATGCGGCAGCTGGCCCCCGGTGACAAGACCAGGCCACATTGTGGGCAGAGCTGCACGAGCACGGGCCATGGAGGCCTCGCGTTCAAGAGCTGCAGCGGTGCAGTGCTCCTGCTCGAGGGCGGCAAGGGCAGTGCGAACGCACTTGTGGGCGTCAGTGGCAACGTGGGAGGCAGCCACAGCAGCGTCGTCTAGGGCAGCCTTCTCCATGGCGGCGGCACGGTCACAAGCGGCGGCCGTGCGCTCTCGGGTGGCGGTCTGCTCAAGCTCGGCCTGGGCAGCAGTGGCAGCAGAGGTAGAAGGTGGAGCCATGGCTGGAGGGGCAATGGCTCGCTAGAGGAGGTGGCGGAAGCAGGAAGCAGGGGCGGATGCACAGTAGGTGCATGGGGGTACAGCTGTACCCCCAAAATTCTGCAAAAATACTGTTCATATACCCTTTAATACATTATATACGTATAATATAATATATTGTTAAGTAGCAAAAGTCTCACACAGAGCTTCTTGTTTGCATTGTTGCTTTTGAATCTAGTGATTTCCTTTGCTTTTTATGACAACGAAAAATTTATTGAACTTGCAAAATTTTATCCCAAGATTTCACGGGTACAAGTATGGTCCAACTTTCTTTGCCACTTAATATATTTGTTGTTGATGTGTGTAACTACACAAGTTTCCGATAAGCAAAGAATTTTAGTGAGATCCCTCTCAGACTTATTGAGACAAACAAGCACAATTGCTTCAAAACAAGATGGGCAATCAATACTTAAATGATTTTTTTATCATATTTATTGAGCTCGCATGACTTTTTCTAATGTGTAAGCGATGAAGACGTCATTAAACGCTTTCAAGAATCGCGGAATGGCTTGTGAAGATTTAGTTTCTATTATAATAATTTATAAGAATTAGTTGCGAACTTATAATGAAAAAATATAACTTGTTTCATTTATATATCTTTACAACTATTTTATTAATCGAATTATATCATTTCAATATCGATCATTTTAGTCCGTACCCCCATGATCGAAATCCTAGATCCGCCACTGGCAGGAAGTCACAGGATCTCTTGGTACCGTGAGAGTGGATGAACATGTATTGCTTAATTCAACTGAAGATTGGTTACAAGATATATGTAGAAGAGGCGACTAAGCTAGAGAATAAAGGATGGAAAGAACCGAGGCAACATGCTGGGGAGAATCCCTGGTGGCAGCTGAGAACTAAAGCAGCAGCCTGGGAGACTCCCAGGAGGCAGCCGGCCATACATTAAATAACATAGAAACTTGCTAACATTTCGATTACATGCCTTTGCTTGGGGACAAGAAGAGTTTCCATGGGGCGGTGATGTCTTTTTTTCTTGAATACGCAGGAGAGCTGTGTATCTTTGTATTAAGAGAGGAAAAAACGGTGCCTTACAAAATTAACCTCCTTACTCCGGACCGAGCTGTAAGGAAACATGTTTTTTTTATATGCACATGTCTATTGCTGTGAACTGCGATGCTTGGCCAAATTTCCTTTTTTTTTCTTTTTGAAAGGACTAGCAGAGGAAGACCGAAGTTGACTTGGGTAGAGGCAATAAAAGGAGACTTGAAAGGATGGAATATACCCAAAGACTTAGCCTTAGATAGGAGTGCTTGGAAGACAGCTATTCACGTGCCTGAACCTTGATTGCTTCTGATGGGTTTCAACTCTAGCCTACCCCAACTTGTTTGGGACTTAAAGGCTTTGTTGTTGTTGTTTGAAAGGACTAGCAGGAGTTCTACCCAGCATAGAGAAGAGTGAGTTTAAACATGAAACAGAAGCTCAATAAGGAGGGAAAAATCATAAAGTCAAAGAGCTCCACTAGATGACTACTCTCTCGAGAATACCACACACCCTGATAGCTAAGTTACCACAACACTTTGACCTAAAGATCGGAGACCTTGCGCTCCCATAAAGCACCAAAGGTGAGGTTTGTCCCTGAAAGACTAGAGAAGAACACCCAAATTTGGGCTTGCTCCTTCAAAAACAACTGAGTTTCTATGTTTCCAAAGTCGCCAAGCACCCTGTCGGGTTCATAAACCCGGGGTCCCCAATGGATCCGCTTCCCTACAAAACCGACCCGGCAGGCGGTGCAGCGACAGCACGCGCCTAGGCCGGCCCAGATACATAATGAAAGGCCAAGACAACGATCCGGTTCCCGACCGGAAGGCCTGGCTGAGGTGGGACCGCAGTCCGACTCCGACCCCCTTTCTCCGACCGAGGATACACCGAATCTATGCTCGCTGCTCTTTCCTGACCGACACGGTCGAGCCGACTGGGAACGACTAACCGGGGACGCCCGTTCGGTGTGGGCCCGGGGAGCAGGCGGAGCAGATAAGGTAAGACGCTCAAGTCAACCGCAATACCGAGGACCGTACCCTGCCATGCCCTATACACCTGCAGGACGGTGCCATCGAGGCATGTCAGGCGAACACGATAGAGCCTGCCAGACGTGTCAGAGCATAAACAGTATTGTGGGCGCCGTCGTTTGTGGTACCAGGCGAACATGGTAGAGCCTGCCAGACGCGTCTGAACAAAAACAGTATTATGGGCGCCGACGGCCATCCCGTACCCGATGACGTGGGCAACAAGACTAGGCAGCGCCCGTATGAACTCTCTCTTTCTCTCTGACTTATAAGGCCACCCCCTTCAACTATAAAAGGGGATGCGCTCTCTCCTACCAAAAGGACAGGAGCTTCGAACCCCCCGAAGCCCCGAAGACTCGAGACTCGAGGACAGCAGCACGACGACTCTAGAGCTCGACAGCTACACAGCCTACACGCTCTCAACAGCTGATAAGCTCGGACACACAGAGCATACGCACCGATACTTAGCGCACGTTTGAGCATTCGCCACTCTCGGCCACTCGGCTCAGAGTCCGACCGGGCCTCTAACACCCCCCTTCTCATTCCTTACTCGTTTGTAACCACATATCAAACTTCGAGCACCTGGGCTCAGGAATAAAGTCATCGACCGACCTCAACTGAACGTAGGGCCTGTTGCCTGAACCAGTATAAATCCTGTGTCATTGAGTGCTAGGCCACATCCGATCACAACGCACGGTAAAACTACAAATATTTACTTGTTGGCCACATTTCGCACCGACACACCCAAAACACTCGCCATGTTGATGCCTTTCCCATTCTCCTTCATAGCACACTTGATAAACTTATGCCACCAACCTGCGAAAGTTGGTTCAGCACTACTCAGTAAACATGTCTGGAATCCCAACGGCTCCAGAACCCTGAACAAGGAGTCTCACACCCATGATGGAGAGCAAGGAGTCTAGTAGTTTGACAAGTGTGTCCACCAGCCGTGGGACCCATGTGGAAGACAAGACCAAGTCACTACATTGCCCAGCCAACGGGAGAGGGAAGAAGAGAAAAACCGAAAACATGTAGACTCAAGCACAGAAGACGATCTTCCTCATTTTCGAGATCCCCCTCCTCCGACTATCTCCTATGATTTCTCACTTCACTAGTCAGCCACAGGTGTGTGTTTAATGGGAAGTCTGCTAGTGTTGATGTTGTCCTTAGGGCAATTTCAAAGGAGGCCGCTATGTAGTGTCTTCTAAGCTTAGGCTGTTTGCCTTGTGGTAGTGGAGGGGCATTCCATTTCCCCGTGTGTTATTTGTGTATCTTTTCGTCTTTAATGATATGATCACAGGTCTCATTCATATTTGAGGAAAAAAACTCAAAACTCAAAGTCAAATATTCGGAGAAAAATATTGGAGGTAATTTCATTAATTGTTCATATACAAGGAACTAAAAAAGGACAGATAGTTAGGAACTTAAACCTCTCATACTTTTGGGTGCTCTCTTCGTCATCACCTGGTTCTTCGTCAAGTACTTCATACCTGCACATGCATCAATATTAAATGAGTGATACTTACAGAACGATGGTCACATAGAACGATGGTCACATATAAGGCAACAGCAACAGGCACACTAAAAAGTTATGATCGCTGATACGTTGTCCAGGGGCAACTAGCAAGGGTTATCACAAACATGATATAAATCTCATCAAACTATATTGCATGCCAAGCCAGTAACAGCTTGTCATTACTTCCTCTCTACATGATAAAATGCAATGCCCACTTTTCCTCTTTTTCTTATTTATTATGGTGAGATTCAGTGCTGGAGATGTCATCCCCATAGCTGTCTCAGTTTCTGCATGGCAATTTTTAGCAATACAGCGGATACCCTAAAATTTCCTATTTTCCCATCAATAATGTGGTGCCTTACCCAGGATCTTGTAAGAAAGGTTAACATTACCTCCATTCAAAGGTAATTTTTCCCTCGAGTAAACTTTTATATCACAAACAAATGTTTGCCCTACAGATAGAAAAAATAAAATAGATACATACTCTTTTGTTTCCTTATCGAAATGTATGACCTTCACGACGAACCACTCATCCTTTTCATCATCTGATTTTACCCTAGCAGCAACCTGAAATGGCAGAGATGAAAGTAAGTTGTAACTATTAAATAATTAAACAAATATACATAAAGCATGCATGTGCACCAACAGAAGGAAAGAGCTAAAGCTATGTACTAGGCATTGCATTGGTAGAGCTCAAAATCTGAGTAACCAAACTTAGTCATTGTCCTATAATATGATGTTTATAATTAGTTTTAACTTTGAGACTGGCTGATAGTCTGATTAATTGTATAAATGTCAAATCAATGATAAGGAGATTTTATGACGTAATAATATCCATAGCAAACATATTAAACCATGTTCCAGACAGTCGGTTTGATTTAATATTTAATAATATTGCAATGTATAATTTATATTGTGCAATAGGGCTACCTTAGTTGCTCTAGAGTCAATCTACCCTATTATCACTTAATGGGATGTTTTACGATGAGAATATCACAAAAATTTCATAAGGAATTAACACCAAGCTGAATTCTTATATATAACAATAACAAAGTAGGCTAAGTTGAATATTTATACAAGTATTTTTCTTGAAGTACACTAATGACTTGTTTCCTGCAACACAAATTCAGTGTCAACCAAAACCAAGTTATAGTTTAAAACAAACAAAAGTTCTTGTTTGGACTATTTGTCATGTGGGGAGAGCAGTTTAGCCGCAGAGCTAAGAAGGCAGGAACAGCTGGCCAGGAAAGTGGCTAATTTGCTGTTAATTAGAGGCGTACCATTAGCTGGTGCTAATTTAGAAACATATTAATGAGTGATTGAGAGAGATTAGAGGAGTGATTGGCAGCCTAGTGCCTATATGTAAGCCGAATGGCTCCTGGTGAAGGATTAAGCAAGAAGAATATTCCTATCTCCTAATCTACCTTCCTCGTCTTAATCTCATTATCTTCAACAATAGGGCACCTAGGGGTAAAACCTCGCTCCAACCTCACGGATCGGGGCTACGAACTACGTAGCCGAGGTCTAACTATCCTAGACCTCGACACCCTGACTGTAAGACATAATCTGCTGCTCCCCAACTCTCTTTGCTGCAGATTAGGAGATGAAGCTGGCCAGCTCAGCTGTCCAGTCTCTGCTGCTGTAGCAGTAAGGCAATAGGCCACCTCTAGGACATTAGTTGGTAGAGGGCTTTATCAGTCATGTCTTGGTAGTGGACTGATCTAAGCCAATGTACTAGTAGTACTAGGAGTAGGTAGTTGGTGTACTCACCATACCTTAGTGTACCTAGTAGAGGTACATGTAGTTGTATATATACTACCTCAATGCAATTGGAAAAGGCAGTTCAGTTGCCACATTCAGAGTTCAGAGCTGCTGCTGCAGCTCGTGCAGTGTGTGTGTGTGCTGTGCTCAACTCCTTCTACCTCTAGCCAAAGTGAGTGTGTGGGTGTGCTGGTAAACTTTCATGAATCTAGCTCGCAAACTGGAGTTGCAGGACCACTGCGCGGTCGCCAGCGCTCCGACGCTGCACCAGCCAGCCCGTGCTCCGGTGCGCGCCCTCCTTCCAGCGCCTCAGCCGCAGCTCCCCCTTTCGGCCCCGAACCCCGCCACAACAACACCGGCGACGATCACCATGGAAGGCCACCCGGTCCAGCGCCTGTCCCAGGCCCAGATGGAGGAACGACGCCGCCTCGAACTCTGTTACAACTGTAACGAGAAGTTCGGGCGCAAACATAACAAGGTCTGCCAACGTCTCTTCTTGTTGGACAGCGTGGCGGAAGAAGAGGAGCCGCCGGTCGACAGCACTGAGGCGGACACGGACCCGCACATTTCCCTCCACGCCATCGCCAGGGTCCGCACCAACGAGACGATGCAGATCTGTCTCCAGATCGGCGACACCACCTTTCTGGCACTGCTCGACTCCGGCTCCGCCCACAATCTCATCTCAGAAGCGGTTGCGGCCAACACGTCTCTGCCCTGCAGCACCGCGGCCGCGTGAAGGTGACAGTGGCCAAAGGGGAGCGCGTTCCCTGCCTAGGGATGCTCCGTCAGGCCGCCTTCTCCATCGACAACGAGAGCTTCATTGCCGACCTCTTCGTCCTCCCCCTAGACGGCTACAACATAGTCCTCGACACCCGGTGGCTCGCCTCGCTAGGCCCAATCCTATGGGATTTCGGCGACCGCAACATGTCCTTCTGGCACTGCAATCACCGTGTTTGATGGCAGGGCGTCGCGGCCCCTGCAGGCCCCACGCTGCACGCAGCCACAACCGGTGACATTCTTCTGAAGGCCCTATTCACCGACTTCGCCGAGCCTCATGGGCTGCCTCCTCCACGCTTCCACGACCACAACATTGCCCTCCTGCCAGGGTCACAGCCGGTGGCTGTCCGTTCCTACTGGTACCCCACCTCTCAGAAGGACGAGCTAGAGCGGCAGTGTGCCGCCATACTAGAGCAGGGCCTGATCCGTCGCAGCTCCTCCGCGTTCTCATCGCAGGCAATTCAGAAGCGCGCGTACGACCAGCTCCGTCGAGCCGTCGCCTATGCCGTGGGTGACCCGGCCTCTATGCTGCAGGCCACAAAAGGGAAACTCAAGCCACGCTCCTATGGCCCGTACCGTGTCGCCGAGCTGATCAGCGACGTCGCTATTCGCCTAGGGTTTCCTCCGCACGCTCGCCTACATGATGTGTTCCATGTGGGGCTTCTCAAGAAGTTCATCGGCACGCCGCCAGATGCCCCGCCACCTCTGCCAGTCATCCATCATGGAGCAGCTGTTCCAGAACCTGAGCGGTTAGTGCACACTTGCTTCACCCGTGGCATGCAGCACGTGCTCGTCTAGTGGAAAGGGGAAGCAGCGGCCTCGGCAACCTTGGAAGACATCGACTCCATCGAGCGTCATCCCAATTTCCAGCTCGAGGACGAGCTACTCGACAAGGGGGGGAAAGATGTCATGTGGGGAGAGCAGTTTAGCTGCAGAGCTAAGAAGGCAGGAACAGCTGGCTAGGAAAGTGACTAATTTGCTGTTAATTAGAGGCGCGCCATTAGATGGGGCTAAGAAGCATATTAATGAGTCATTGAGAGAGATTAGAGAAGTGATTGGCAGCCTAGTGCCTATATGTAAGCCGAATGGCTCCTGGTCAAGGATTAAGCAAGAATTCTTATCTCCTAATTTACCTTCCTCGTCTTAATCTCATCCCCTTCAACAATAGGGTGCCGAGGGGTAAAACTGTTAGCATTAATTACCTCTTAGCTGTAATCTCTTAGTCCTATGCGCCACCTCCATCATGGTATCAGACTAACGATTCCTCTGCTTCGCTTCTATTCGCTGCCTCGCCTCGAGCCGCGCCGGGCTCCTTCACCTCTCTCTCTCACACACCCGCCTCGCGAGTCGCCTTGCCTCGCCACCACCGAGCCACCGCCACGATTCTTCCTCCCACGCGCCAGAGCTCAGCCCCTGTCGACGCGCCTAGTGCCGCCCCATCCACGCGCTCATGGCCACTTCGACCTCCGGCGCCTCCGCCGTGGCTACCGCGATCAAGCTTCGTGATGAAGCTCTCGCCGCCGAGTAGAAGTTGGAGGCCGCCTTCCTGCACTCCAACACCGAACGCAGCCACCAGCTTCAGACGGAGGCCGATCTCCTCAAGTCCATTCTTCCGCCGCGCCGGATCGCGCGTTCAGCGCCACACCGACGCCCTCGAGAAGGAGCGTGGTAGACGCCTGAACAAGCAGTCGTTGCCCTCCGGGACCATCTCCGCACGGACTCCCTCCACGACGACGACTCTCAGGACGGCGACGATCACTCCATCTCCTCCGACGCCGCGGCTATCGCTCATCTGCACAGCCAGGCTGCCACTGTCCAGAACATCAAGAATTTGATTCCGATCGTTCTGGACCTCCAGTCCTCCAACTACTCTAGGTGGCGCGGCTACATCCTCCTCATTCGCGTTGAAGGACCACGTCCTCAGTGACGCCTTGTAACACCTCTGATGTTTTGACCTATCATTAAAATTTGGCATGTCAACATATGCATTGCAAATCATTCATAAAGTAGAAAAATTTGAATGCATTCACTAAATAAGCTTTATTTCATAAGTTGTTATTTTATTTGTTACAATGTGATTCAAAACTCTGAATGAAAATCATGACCACAAGAGTCAAAATTCATGTGATCATGTGAGACCATGTGTTAATTGACTCAAATAACCCTAATGGGCCATGTTACTGGTCAAAAATCAAAGTTAAGTCAAAAGGTAAACAAATCAAATTTGAATTCAAATTCCAATTATAAAAATCATTTTTGCCCCTTTTGTCTATTTTAAAATCCATTTGGAATTTGGGGTTGTGACAAAAAGCAAAGTTGAAGCTTAGTTAATAAGGATCAACTTTGGTATTCAAAGTTTTTCAAGTTTACATATAAAATTTGGAGTAATTTTGAAATGATTCAAATACTCAAATGCACCCCAAATTCAAATTTCAAAATGGGGGCAGAATTTGAAAATGTGCCTTGAAGCAAAGTTGTAGAGTTTGAAAAGTTGAGCAACTTTCATTTTTGGAGATTTTCAACTTCTTTAGAAAAATTGGGAGTAATTTGTAAAATGAACTCATTGGCAAATCAGAAATACTTCAAAAATCAAGTTGGCAACAGGCGCCCACCGCCCCCCACCACGCATCCTTTCTCCGGTCTTCCAGGTAGCGTCGGTGACGCTTGGCTTTCATTTGGCTGGCGAGGAGCACGCATGTGCTGTGTCGATTCCGCTCTCTGGCCGAAACTATAAGACCCGTGACGTCGTCGTTGGCTTTTCTTTCCTTCCTCTGTTTTCCTCCTCACGACGCCGCGCCGTCTCAACTCCGTGAGCTTCTCTCGTCTCCTCAACGCAAGATAGCCCCGGAAAAAGCCGTGTCCTAGTTCCGCTTTGCTCCTTACGCATCCGACCGAAATTTGTTGCTACCGCTTGATTTCGCCGAGAGCTCGCCGTCCACGTTCATCTTCCTCGCGGTTTTCGGCGACCTCAACGGAAACTCCGATTCACCGTGGCGATCGTCCGGTGAGTTGTTGCCTTTTCTTGTTGA